GACCGACCCCTATTATTTGGCTCATCCTGATGCGAGATAAAATAACAAATGGAGGAGAAAACTAAAGGCTTTTTAACCTATTTTTCGTGAGTTAACCGGTAGATGATACTTTTCGATAGGGTTCTTGATCACCCGTAAAAGTTTCTCACGCCCACCAACTGCAGTAATGCTAAGTTTTTGTAGCAATTGCACTACAAGACCAACAAAATTGGATAAGAAACCCGAGAGGTTAAAAGTAGCAAAATATTTTCCGAGGAAGAGAGGAAAGTCGGAGAACTCACACATAATTCCGGCAAATCGCTTGTAAGTTCTTGGTATACGAACATGTGGCTTAACTTCAAAAAGGACACCTTTCTCTGTTCTAACATAAACTGCTTTCAACCTCCCAGCCTTATTAACTGGACTATCCAAAATCATTAGAAGAGCCTGAAGAGGGAAGTTCACTCGAGATGAGTCACAATTTTTTAATAATGAAGCCTTTTAAAGTTCTAAAATCCTTACCTGATGCGTGATGTCTGGTCTGTAATCAGCAGGATTTCTGTTATTTTTTCTCAAGAAATTAGCATGATCGTCAGAATTCAGTAGCTGGTAAGTCTGCACACAAGAACAACATATATCCTTTCAAATACTAGGCACCTCGAACAAATCCATGGCTTTATGTTTAATGCAAACATTCCTGCAAAAAATACCTTTCCAACTTTGGCAACTTCAAGAGAGGCTTTCTCAAGCACGAAAACAACACCGGGCTTTTCCGTTTTACGAGCAGCAAGGTTAATAGGTATCCCTTCATCAATATCATCTTCTGCTTCCTCCTCAGTCTCTTCCTTCTGTTCATTGATTTCCTCTGCTTTTGAGGTGCTTTCTTTTCTCGCCTTCTTCACACTTTCTTCTGCTTTTTGTTTCTGCTCAAACTTTGGTTGTTCATCTTCTTCATCTTCTTCTTTATCGTACCTCTCTTGTCTCTCCTTTCTCTTGTTCACCTTAATCCCATACGGCCTCACCATCTTCCTTCAAAAATTTATGCTAATCCAACACAAATTAAGTAAATCACAAACAATCAGATGCTAAAGGAGTAACTTTTTTGCAGGAATCATAAACATAAAACTGAAATCTAACAGAAAGTAATCAGATTTCCTTCAGGGTCATCGCTTCAAAACTACAGCGAATCAATGCAAACAATCAAAGTCTCATATAGCTTAAATTCGAAACCAACCCAGAATATACACACAACCCTTTGGTGAAAAACAGCTAAAAATCAAAGAGATTGAGAAAGAAATTATCGCTTACGGAACTCTTGAGAGCTTGCGAAGAAATTTCAAGTGAAGCAGACGACTGAATCTTCGATAAACCCTAATTTGAGGACAAAGGATTTTTTTCCCTTCTTTTTATTTCACCAATAATTTACAAAACTTGAAAATAGGCCCATCAAGGTTTTAGGGTTTTAAAAAAGGCCCAATAAAGAAAAAGCGACCAGAGAAACCTAAAATTATTGGTCATCATATCGTCGACTTTTGTTCTGCCGGAGCAACAAGTGTGGTGGTTTCTTCCATTTGTATTGTTCCTTCGATTTTGGGTTTTCTCTGTAACTCGCCGTCAAGGAGAGGAAGCTAAGCAGAGAGGAGTATTGTGTGGTCTTTTTTTTTTTTTCAACCTAGTTTGAAGATGACGTCTTATGGAGATAAACTGAAGTCGACCTCCATTAATGGAGTTAAGTTATACCATGTTTCTTCTGCTCCCAATGTTGCGACTTGGCTTAATCCTAAGAAGCAACGAGCTCTCCGCAAAAACCCTCGTAAGTATCACTAATTGATTGGGTTTTCTGTGAGCTCTGAATCGTTTAAATCCCTGCATAAACCCTATTTCTGAAAAACTCCTCCTTTATTTGTTCTCTGGGATGTGAGTTTAGCTTTATGAGTATTAGAATCTTCACTTAATTGAAGCTTAATGATATCTTTGAGAATCTCTCAAATTCAATGTTCATAGTTTTGATGCCTTTGTTAATGAACTATTGTTTTGTGGCTAAGATTATATGCAAAGAGTGGAGCTGCTTCAGGATTTGAAGTTTGAGACTGCCACTACTAGAATCAAAGCAACTCCAGACGGAGAGTTTCTGATTGCTTCAGGTGCGTTTTCATCTTGTGTTCCTCGGTGGAATTGGATAAGCTAGATGTTATTAACGATAAGTAAGTACTTCTCGTGCGCCTTTTCACTGATTTGTTTCTTGAATCAGGCATATATCCACCACAAGTCAAAGTTTATGAGCTAAGGCAGCTCGCTTTGAAGTTTGAGAGACATTTGGATTCTGAGATAGTTGATTTCGAGGTAGCTTTACTGCTCCATGAGTTGTGTCTGAACCTTTCTTGTTACTCTCTTGTTGCTGATTCAGTAATGTGTTTGTTTGCTCCACAGATATTGGATGATGACTACTCAAAGCTTGCCTTCTTATGTGCTGATCGTTCTATTAATCTACACGCCAAATACGGGAAACACCACAGTTTAAGAATTCCAAGGTATTTTAGCTTTGTTGGTCTGTGACATATGTTTTGTGATGTTTGATTTGGCATTGATCTAAAAGCTCTCGTTTATTTGCAGGATGGGGAGAGATATGACTTATGATTCCTGGACTTGTGATCTGCTCTGCGCTGCTTCCTCACCAGATCTATACAGAATCAATTTGGAGCAGGTACGTTTCGATGAACGTAATAGCTAGTCTTTGTGGCCTTGTGATCTACCTCAGTCGATGATTGTTGAGATGTGCCTTCTTTTTCTTTAGGGAAGATTTCTCTCTCCTCTCAGCACTCAGTCCCCAGCGCTGAATGTTGTTTCTCGAAGGTAATTGGCATTTTTCTAATTATTTGTAATAAGAGAATGTTGTATCGTACTGCTTCAAATTACTGTTGTTTACGTTTGAGCACTATTTGTTTTGTTATCCAGCAATTTCCATGGATTAATTGCTTGTGGTGGTGAGGATGGTGCTGTAGAATGTTTCGATATGAGAATGAAATCATCTGCTGCTAGAATTAATGCGGTTACACATGGTGGTGATGCTGCTGCGGTAAATCTTCTTAATTTATGCTCCATATAAACAGACTTTCGTAGCTTAAACATGATTGGTGATTGATTGCATCAGTCTTAATCTTGTGCTATTTAATGCCTAATAGGAGGTTACTGCTATAGAGTTTGATGACAGTGAAGGTCTTCAAGTAGCTGTCGGGAGTAGTGCGGGAAAGGTTTGATTCTATATTTCATTTTTTACCAATAAGGTTCTAAAAACCGGTATGTCAATTTGACTATATAGCTATGTTTTTTTTAATGAGCTGTTCTATATCTGCAGGTTTTCATATACGACTTGCGTACTTCAACTCCCATACGAGTGAAGGATCACATGTAAGTATTAGTCTGTTTGTATCAACTCAAAATTTATCATATATGCTATAACCTTAGGTTTTGGTGCCTTGGTGTTCATTGTCCTTCCTGCAAAATTTGCAGGTACGAGAGCCCGATTTTGAGTATTAAGTGGCAACGGACTCTTAATACTCAACAACCCAAGTTGGTTACTACTGACAAGCACATTGTTAGAATATGGGATCCGAATACGGTAAGCTTCCAATAAGATCAGGTTTACCTCTCGGTTTCTTGAACCCTACGGGTTGTGATATTGAAATACAGCAGATTTTGGCTAGATACAGCTTTTGACAATTTGTTTCCAGGGAGAAGGTATGACCAGCATTGAACCGACTGGAGGAGGAATAAACGACATTTGTGTGTTCCGTGGAAGCGGACTTATGCTTCTGGCTTTAGACTCTAGCCTAATCCCATCTTACTTCATACCTGAACTTGGTCCCGCCCCCAAATGGTGTTCTCCTCTTGAAAATCTAACGGTATTTATCTGATACATTTTTTTGTTTTTTTTTGCAATATCCATCATTCCAGTGGTGTGGCCATTGTTACAAACACGTCTTCTTGAAATATTGTTCTCAGGAAGAGATGGAGGAAACTGGACAAACAACTATTTACGATAATTACAAATTTGTGACAAAAGAAGATCTAGAGAAGTTGCAGCTGACTCATTTAATTGGGACAGATCTTTTGAAAGCTCAAATGCATGGATATTTTATGAATCACAATTTGTACAAAAAGGTAAATACTTGGTATTTTCATACACTTGTAAATTCAAAATAGTCTCTGCGATGTTTCTTCCTTATAACTTCTCTCTCTCTTTTACAGGCTTTGGCAGTGGCTCAACCTTTTGCATATGATGATTACTTAGAACGGAAGAAGCAAGAGAAGCTAGAAGCGGACCGTGCCCAGAGAATCACAGTTTGTTTTTCTAATCTAAGCAGCATTCGGAGATTTTTGTTTGTTTGTTGGTTACTTACAAGCACATATGTGTGTCTTGTGCTTGCTGCAGAGGAAGAGAAGGTTACCAAAGGTAAAGGTTAACCGTGACCTGGCAGATGCCATCCTCAACGAGGAAGATGCGGAAGAGGAAAAGAAAACTGTCGAGGATGAGGAAGCTGCCAAGAAAGTGTCAAAGAAGAAGAAATCCGTACTTACTAGCAACGATTTCGAAAGTGGCCGGTTTGCACCTTTGTTCCAAAATCCGGTATTAACAATAATACTTCGAGGCTTTTGCTTGTTTCTTTTTGTTACTCTATTTCACATCGAATTGAACTGATTCTTGGGAATCTCTATCTGGTTTTCAGGACTTCCAAATCGATCCAGAATCATATGAATATGGTGTTCTACACCCTATTGCTTCTTCTAAGAAGCAACCGTCTTTGTTAGAAGAACACTTTGAAGCTGTAACAGACGATGAGAACAGCGATTCTGATGCATCACAAGCTTCTGATGACGAAGCCGGCGATGGGGGCACAAGGCCAAGCAAGAAATCGAAAACCACAAAGTTAGTGACTTTTGAGTACATTCCAAGATTTAGACACCACACTCTATGTTTCTGTTCTTTCTTGATGTGGAAGATTTGGTGTCAGGTTGTTTGAAGTGAAAGACGAGCGGCACGCAGAAGCTTTCTACAACCGCGTTTCACTGGCTAAAGAAGACAATCTTCCTATGGGCGAGCGTGTTAAGGCTATAGAGAAACGGCATGGCAACTATGGAGCCTCGAAAGATGTCAAATTCGGTCCTGGAGGATCCCGTGAGATTTCTTTCAAGGCGAGAAGGTCATCCAAATACAAAGAAGACAGAGGAGATAGAGACGATGATGATGGGCAAAGAAACAAGAGGAGAGGAGTTCAGTCTCTTGGACTGAAGTCGGATACTGTTAGAGGCGGTTTCAGAGGTAGAGGAGGTGGCGGTTTTAGAGGGAGAGGAGGTGGCAGTTCCCGGGGAAGA